ATGCTGTCCCCCCACCTGAGGCCCTCGTTCCCCCCACACCACCGTCTTACGCCAAAGGGATCTTTCTGTACTCCTCTCCTCCCTTTCTCCTGGAAAGGTCTTATTTCTTCCCCCATCTCCATTCCTGACTGCTCCTTTCTTTCATGCCTCATCCTACCCACCCTTCTGTTCCCTTCATCACTATTATTCCTACTGCTGTTCTTACCATTGTTCCCTAAGAGTGGCCCTTTTTCTTCCCCTCCTTAGTTCCTTCTCCCTCCCATCCACCAGGGTTCTCCCTACGCTCCGATTTCTGCTCCTCTCCCCAGGACTCCGTCCCCCCTATTTTTGTATGTCCCCTCCTCAGTTGAGCCTCCCTCCCCGTAACTGGTCCTCCTAGAAGATCATCTGCTCTGCTGCGACCCAGGTCAGAAACCACCCTCCCACTCTTCAAGTTAAAATGAGGCTTCACCTGGATGAAAGAGAGGAAGAAATTCCTCTTACTGCAGGTAAGAAGAAAACGTATTTTTCAGTGCAGGTAAGAGAAGGAAACGTCAGGTTTTCTGCCATTGTGATTTATTGAACACGTTGAAGGTTGTACCCAGCTGTGCTCGGGTTGTTTCTAGAAATACCAGCAGCTGGATGCGGTAAAGCATTCAGCCCACTGGCATGTCTTCATTTGTAATGAAAATGTTGTGAACTCATTTTATTAAAATAAACAATTATTCCAAGGTCTTCTTCCTATTTCATGAAAGTTGTTTTTACCTGTTCCATCACTATGAATTTTATTGGGTTTTTCCTATTATAAACACACATAATGTCAGCCCCCTTTCCAAAAAAAACATGTTCCTGTCAGATTCCGAGGTCACTTTCCTTATCAGTTTTTCAGCAGTGTTCTACGTACTGTTGCCCTTCACTTGGGAAAACTATAGGATCCAGCGAGTCCTAATTTCTGAGGAAGGTTATTTGCATAAACGAGCTTTTGACCATGGATTTGCTACGGCATCATTTTGCGTTGGTCTCATTTGAAAGCCCAACGTGAAACTCGAGGCTTGAAAGCCACAGCAGGGTCTAACCCAGCTATCAAAGTTGCTCTGCATAGTTTATCAGCATGGGTTATCCACCCAGGCTATGGCCCTATGAAACTTTAATTTGGAAATGGCACCAAATACAGACTAGAATTATAAAAGGTCAAGACACGAATGATGGAAATGGGAAAACGTGAATCCTGTAGAATTAACCTGACAAAAGAAGTTTTATAAGTACAGAAAGCAAATGTCCCATTCACAACTGAAGTTTGTGGTGATTTTAGAACTGGATTCTTTTCATAGTCACTGTGTGTAAGAAGACTATTTCCAAGCATTAATATTCATTGAAAAAAAACTTGCTGTGCTTTGCTTACTACAGAACTGAAACTACTACATAATGAAACTTGAGCAGCAGGCAAAAAAGCAAACAACTCCCCCGCCCCCAACCAAACAAAAAAATCCCCCAGGGACAGTTAGGGGATGGGGAAAAAAAGCATTTCTTCCATTGTAATGTAGAAGATGCATTGAGAGTTAATCACAGACCATACATTACCTCCCCTCCTCTACCTTTTCATTAAGCAGCTGTCTTCATCTTGTGCATTCTGCTGGTGGTTAGGATAAGGATGAATAATTCCCGTAACTCTCTTCCTCCCCAGATTAAATAAATTACAAGCTTGAAAAAGAGCCTCCAGTTTGCCGTGTATGTATCACAACAGACAGGACAGGAATTCTTTCAGTACTCTTTAAAGAAAACTGGCATTATCCATTCAAGCAGTGGAAGGAGCTCACTGAACGCTCCTCGCCCCTAGACAGCGCTGCAGGCAGTCGCTCCTTTTCTATCGCTCCCTTGGGCACCTGGCTGTCACTGGTACGCATATGCCCAAAATTTAGATTAACCATTGCTCTTCGCCTAGGTGGCAGCAATAAACAGTGACCTAATGCTGGCAATAGAAAATTGTAAAGCCAGGAGCTGCTGTAACAAAGACTTAAACTGCTTGCAGGGTTCAGTTTACAATACAAGCCTTGATGATAATTATTTGCTGTCTGAATAACAGCATAATCTGGGCTTCTTCCACCACTGCCAGAGAACAGGCTAATTCAAATACATCTCGTCAAAGGAATGGTTTTAATACACCAATGAACACCACCATTAAACGACCCTTGGTACCCTAATCCTTCTTCCAGATTTTCAGTCCTCTTCAGAACGGACGGGCTCCCTCGACACACAATACAAATCAGAAAACCAACAGCGAATAAACGTGAACTTACAAACTGGAAGCAGCTTCTGACGCTCGGCTCGATATTGCTGCCCCCGAAGGAGGCCACTTCCCCCAGCTGCCGAGGGATCTGGATGGAGTCGTGCAGCAGGAGCCCCAGCCGGCGCTGGTCACAGAAGCCTGTGGAGCTTGCCACTTGCTTGAACAGGTCTGGAGGAAGGAAAAGGACACCCATGCTAAAGCATCACAACGGGGATATGGCAAATAGTGTGGAAGTTTGTGTCATTTCAAAGGCTCACAAGTGTGGTCAACAGCCTCGGTGGACACGAACACGAACGCATCTTCAGTTTGGCTGCTTCTCTTCCCATAAACACTGGTTTTTTTCTGTTAAATAAGCAGTCTAGTGATAATATTTAATAGCATTATTGGCTCATACCTGGGAAGAAAGGCCATTATAACACAGCACTGGTGGCATTACTAATAATAGCAGCTGTGGTTCTGTAACACAGCTAACTAAACAGCGGGATCTTTGAGCCACAACATAAATGTTTTTAAAAACATTGTTTAACAGTAAAATAATCTCAGACAACATACAGCACATTTTCAAATCCTAGCAATCAACATACAACTCAGAGAATCCACTTCTCTTTCAGATGAGTTGAACTGAAAAACAAGAGCTCCCTAACTTTGATATATCACAATCTTTTAATCCAAGAGGATTTCTAAAATAAAAGAAAAACATTACAGTGTGACAGAACCTGCCATCCACTGGGAATGTTAATATCATATTAAGTTTTCACATCTGAAGTGAAATGTCACTTGAAGCCATGTTCTGTTACTGCATCATTCCAGAAAAGAATCCTTACAGGACAGAATTACTATCCTTTCATAAGCTCACTTTAATTGAGTGGGAATTAGTTATACTGCACATACATTGAGGAGGTTTTAGAGTTCATAATAATAATAAAAAAAAAATCAGCATTAACTGAAATATTTATTTGGTAATATCCCTGTTGACAATACATGACCTGAATAAATTGTCCTTACTTTTCAAAGAGATAAAAAAAAAAAAAAAGAGAGCAAGAGACAGCTAGAATAAAATAATGCCCTTTTTTGGAGCCACCTTAATATTTCACCTGACACCAGGGATACAATTATAAAGGTGCTTCAGCAATGCTCGAGATAACTTTCCTAGCACTGCTTTGACACCTGTTTTCTTCTGAAGGAATAAAGGAATGGATAGAGAAAGGATTATTTTTTAATTACATTAATTTCGCTCTTGCCAAGGCTAGTTTTATAATAAATAATTTTGGGATAAAGCCTTCCATCACCTCTGCAAGGCTGAAGACTTGTGCTCTAGCACAACCAACTCTGCTCTGCTGCACAAATGAGAGAAAAAATTTTAAGGGGTGCGACTCATTGCATACTTGCAGCAATACTAATAGCAACTGCACTACGACTTTGGGCATGGATGGTGAAGCCAGACCACAGCCTGGCAAAGACAATTCCTTCTTCTCCCACAAGCAATTCAGCTTTCAGTTTCCCCATCATTAAAACTTTAAGTGTTCTACAACCTTAAAAGGGGGGGTTATGCATTACCATGCACACACTCCAGGAGACTATGAAATACAAATAAATGTTTTCCTTTATAACTTTGATAATCCTCAATGAAATATCATTTTGAAAAATATCTGTCCTGAGTAATTTTCTTGAAAGATTTTCTGAATACTTTTTCACAACACCCACATGAAACATCTAGAGATCTAAACTGTGACATTCATAGTGATTGCCCTAAAATCTGATCCAATTATACATAGTCATGCACAGACTCCGTTGTTGGAACTGTCTGTTTTCTCTTTAGCGTTCTTCAACTTCCATTAGCAGAACAGAATAACAATTGATGAAGAACAGCTATGGTATTGGGTCAAATCCTAAAGGTTGTTTTTTTAGTGTTTTTTTTAAATGCATGAATGAGTGATACCAGTTAATTTAACCAGAAAGTTACTCTTGAGAACTGCTCTTATCAGTAGATCGTTTCTGAATCCTAGCCTCACTAATGAACTGATTCATTAGTCAGATAAAACTAAAACTTCAAGTGGAATTTTTTCGACTATTTCAGGATTTGGTCTATTAAAATATGCAAAATTTGCATACTTTTAATATTTTTTTAAAGATAGCAACTATATTTAAGCACAATGTACATAATAAGACCCCAACCACATTGAGGAAAATATTTTTTAAAAATATTTTGAAATGGTGTAATGCAAGATGTCCTGCAGAAATGCATTTTTGTGTATGAAGGTGGGCTAAACCAGTGGTCTCCAAAGGGGGGGTGCGTTCACCACAGGGGGTGCGCAAGACAATCTATTGGGGTGTGGTAAGAAAATATTTTTTGTTCTGATACTACATTTTTTAAAAATATTTATTTCATCTTTATCTCATGCTTTTTTAATTTCCATTTTTATGTATGTTTTATAATGTACATCGTATACTACTACAGTAGTACATGTATATAATTTATAAATAAATATACATCTATTGGGAGTGCACGCTCAGTTTTTTTACCGATAAGGGTGCATGATCAAAAAAGTTTGGGGACCACTATGCTAAACTACCTAAAACCATACTAAACAAATAACTTAAAAGTACAAGGTGGAGCAAATTAACACACTTTGCATCTGGACTATCTAAAAGAACGTGTCTATATGCTACTTAAACGTTTATGCAATAAATAGGAGGAATGAAAACAGAATATAAACATAAACTAAAACCAAAAGAATTACATTGACTTACATCTGTATTTATCTTCCAGGTGTGCTTTACAAAGGGATACAACACCAGTTTTGAAAGATAAGACACGGATCCTTCCTGTTCGACCCCTAATGAAAAAGAAACATTGGCTGATCATACGGTCCATTCATGCCATAATTTGTTTACTACAATGAAGTTCACCACTGTACCGTAGTTGTCATAAATGAAGTCCCACAAAGAACCATGTTGCACAGCGCACACTAGCCAGTTATTAGATAAGCTAGAAATGAAATATAAAATATGGTTGTGGCTCCACAGGTGTAGCTGCATTGGATTGTGCCATTGTATCAATTCAACCAGAAATGGTCTCATTCGGAAACAATTACTCACCTTTGTTACAACAGAAGTGAGAGTAAAGAGTCTTTACACTACGCTTATTTGAAAAGGCTTCCCTACAAACTGCTGCTGTTCTCAGAGAAGATGGGGTCCCTGACGGAACAGGAAACCATCCCTTTCGCCAAAGACAATGTAACTTCACTGTAATTAGAAATGCGATGCAGCCATCGTTTTTAAGAAGTTGTTGCTTACTGTCTGTCAGCCCTGCCCTGACCTGTTTGAGAAAGAGCCAGGCACGAAAAAGTGGCCTCGGCCAGTGGTATGCAGTGACAGAGGCACTTGTAAGACGTTCAGGTGAATGATGAAGCTTGCCTAGAAATCACGAGAAGGCAGGCAGGCTGCACAGTCGTGCCATTAACAACATGGTGTGGTTCCTGAGCTCCTCCTCGCAGCACTCAAACCTGTCCTGCGCTGTGCCAAGGGGCTGATATGCACCACATCAGTCCCTGTGCTGCCTCCGGTCAGCTTCCCCTCATGCGCACTCCTGCCTTGTGATGTGCCCGCCCTATTACTTTTGCTTTTTAACCTGACTGTGAGAAGACCATCTGGTTTAGCTCAATTTACTTCCAGTTGCTGGCTTCTCGACTTTTATTTCTGATAGCATTTCAAATATATAACATCTATTGCAAACAAAGACATATACAACATAGGAAGCCAATGCCTAAGAACGACATTTTTGAATCAGAGCCTTATCAACAGTTTTGAAGCATCACCAGTAAGAACACCACTGGAAAGAAGATCAATCATGCACAGGCATGCCATAGTCATGCATTAGGCTGCACTGTTCGGCAAAGATACACGTTGTCTTTTTAATCCTACAAGAGTGTTGTAGGAGCCAGTGGTGCTCATTTACCCAGGCACCTCCCCTGCAAACCCTAAAAAAGGTGCAGACAGAAACTAGCGGACAAAACAGAATTTAGAAATTGCAACCTTTTACTAAAGAACCTTGCGTTTTTCATCACGAATAAGCATTTGTTGTTTACGTCTGTTTCCACGCTCCACTCCTCTTACTCCTCTCCCTCAAATCTTTTCCAAATTAATTATCATCTGTGCCCTGAGAAACTCCTGCTGATGAATACCAGGCTCATGCAAATTATACAAGAGAAGAATGTAGAATGATGATTTCCCTGCAAGGCATATTAAATTGAAACTTGCACGAATCATGAGTTGTTCAGTTCACTCTTCTCTCTTCCCAAGTCAAACCAATAATTTAGCATGCTACTGCAAATGAGCATGAGTGACTGATCAATTAAAACAAATCTGAAACGTGTTGGATTTGCAGAGCTGTGCCCATAATTAGATCAGTCATTGACTGTGAATTTGATTAATATCTTTACAAATGACAGTTTTCAATTATAAGAAAAGTAAAGATTCAGTACATTTAATTAAACATCTCCAGTACTGCTATGCACTTCAGTTGATCTCTGCCTACTAAGTTTACAATGAAAACTAAATACATGTAACCCCAAGGTCACCTCTCGTACCAGCGTAATTCAGACCTGAATTTCAGCAAAATAGCCAGGAGCTTTCCTCACACATAAAATACCTCTCTGTTTCATTGTGTCCTGCAATATCCAGCTCTCTAGCATACCTAGGGAATCGCCCGGAGGCAGCTAATTATAATTTCTAATGTCATACTTTCAGCACAGTGCAACATAAAGAAAACTAGACTGGACATGGCAAATCTAAACTGGACGGTCCAGCTTAGGAGTAGCCTGTGGAATGACCTTTAGTTCCCTCTCTGCCTCTAACATGGCTGATCTGGATTAGCATCCCTAGCACATCTTTTCTGGTTTTCGCTAACCGAGTATCTTGGTTTATATGTTATTTATAGTTGATGATAATTCAGAAGTGGATCAGAGTTCTGTGAAAGCCAAAGCAGATTAAAGAAATAAAATCTGTCTCTTAAATGAATATAGCCCCATTCCCTACTACCAGTACACTACACAAAAATTTAATGTAATCTGGGTAATCCACTTCACAGGATATTGCAGCTGCTGCAGAGGACGTTATAAGCAACTGGCTTATCGGAGGTGATCCTGTAGGAAGAGACTCTGTACAAATCTGTACTTTTTTTTTGGTAGGTGATCATTGAAGCTTCAGTGCTGTGATAAAGTGTGGATGGAGGAACAATGTTTTGGCACTTCAATACAGTTCAAAATGTCAATGGAAATACAATAATAGACCCATGTCCTTCCATTTCTATATGTAAATGTTTATTCTGCCACAGTTATGAGTGCGTCTGGCTGAAGGTGGCTGATAAGAACCTTAAAAACACAAATAAAGACTTCCACTGACATTTTTTCCACTAAATTCACCAAATACAAAAATAATGCCTTATTCTAAAATTACCTTACAAACGTGTTGGAATTTGTCTATGCGTTATGAGCATTAACCCACTGAATAGGAATACTTATAAATTTTCTTAAGGTAAATTTACACTGTTGTAGTTATACTTATAGGTACACTTTTAAAAATTAAATTTTAGATGAAGTATTCCTCAAATTCCTCAAATCTCCTGACTGCTAAGGGTTGTAAGCACTTCAAATTAGAGATGAACTTCTTCCATCTTTGAACAAGAATTATAGATTGAAAGCTATAGAAAATGGACAGCTCTGAAAAGGTTTAATACCTAGAAATACAGACACATGCAAGAGTCTATATGATGGTGTTCATACTGTTGCTTCTTGATAATTCTCTTGAATTCTTCTACCTAAATAAATTAAATAACCCACGCAAAGCTGTGACCTACTGAGGACATGCAGTCCCGGAATTGCTCTGAACACAGAAATCTGTTAAAAAAAGTTCTGCTTTCCAGCTCTCTCACTGCTTAGCTTAATAAAGCTGTGATTGTAAGCCTAACCAAGGGCTGTATTGATTCAGCTAAATGCAGCCATTAAACCATTAGGTTTATTAAACTTTCACTTCAACTACTGTTTTTTTCAGTTTCAAGCCATTCATTTTATAATGAGGCAGATGGCTCGTTACCCCTTTCCCCTTCCCCTTGTGCTGGGAAAGCTCCTGAGCACCCCATGTTCAGAGCACCCATACATACGTGTCGTAGACATTCAGCAGCCAGTTGAGGCACATGTCCACGCAGAGAGGAACATTGACCAGGTTATTGTGCTCTTGTTCCAGTCGATCATAAATGGTGGTCAAGCAATTGATGATCTGGAGAATATCCATCGGCTGGTCGTTTTGTTTGAGGTTGTGCTGGTCCAAGGCATCACATGCAGCAGACAGGCTCAGGAGATCCACTGTTAAAATAAAACAAACCACAATAAAGACTGAAGAGAAACAGTGGTTGTATTACCCATACCCAAAAACTAAACAGAAAAATTTACTTGGCTTACACACGTGGCCAGAGGACATTTTACATCCTCTGAAAGTCACGTGCAAGACTGGTTTCAAGACTCCTACAGGTGCACTGTTTATTCAGCTGTGGTCTTAGAGAGCAGTGTTTATAAAAGTGAAATCTGTTTCATTTTTAGCTGTAAAGTACCTATTATGCTATTGGCTCCTATGGAAATATTACACAAATTATTGTGTAATAAAAATTACATACTTCATGTTTTATGTTCTTATAGATAGGCTAATATTTGACTACTGCATTCACCAAATGTGCTCTAAACATAGGACATGTCATCAGCTTTCCTGAGACGTGACATTCATTTCTTACAGAAGTCAAGCAATCTTAACTGAACCAAACTTCACAAGGAATACACAAACAAATCACAAATGAACTGGGATTAACCTCTCTGTTACTTTTCCTCTGGTGAGCACAGGGAAAAGAAAGTTCCAGAGACATTAAATGGCCTACTTCAATATTTATTAATTAAATTTATCCATTTTTAATTCTGCAGAGCACTTACATTTATAAATACCTCTGTGACTTTATGGAATAAGACACATTTAAACTTATCAGTCAACACACAGCAGAGTTTTTTGTCACAGACATTTGAAAACTTGATTTTTTTGTTCCAATTTAAGTCAGTAGCATTCTGAAATTCTGATGTCCAAGGCAAAACAGAACTTCCCTTTCTCAGATCTTAGTCTCTGCATACTAACATCAACAGCAGCATCACACTTTGGGGGACACCAAATCAGGGAGTTATGGGATGTTGGTTTACAAAGTAAAACAAGAATAAGAACAAAAGAAATCAGAAAAAGGGGACTATTGACAAAGATCTTCTTGCTGCCACGGGAAAACCCTTCGTAATTCCTTGTAGTGAATTTCCAGGGTGTGAGCAATGGGGATATTCAAGCCCAGATGCTGTTAGTTCTGGTCATACCATGAGCAGTCACAAAGCGCAGCATGATTCAACATGACTCGAGGGAGCAGGATCTGGCCCAAAGCGAACTGCCCAAAATCATCCAGGAAATTCATCACAAAATTGAGAAATGAACTGACCCAACTGCAAGACCATTTTTTTTCTTTCAATGGAATAAAAATGTGTTTTATTGAGTCCTGGCAAGCAACATCTCTCAGTAATGTCAAAAAAAATGTGCAGAGACTAAATGCAGAACCCCATACAGGAATTTCTTAAGAACTTCATCCAGCTTAAGGGCACTTTTGCCAAATTCACACTTGAGTATCCTATTTTATCAAGGATGAAGCTGAGCTGACCCTTTGATGTCCTAGTAGAGATGAAAAATACTTTAGCTGCATACCGGGCTGCTTGGTTATGCTGCATGGACAGTATGCTGGGATTTCATAATTGCCAAAAGAATTTCAGGAGTATAAATTTCATTGGAAATCAACGGGGACTTCTGCCACTAAAGCCCTTAAGCACTTCTGAAAATTTCATCGTGTGGGCCTGACACACCCAGTGCTAGAGTGAATAAGGAAAGCTTGGAATACTATCCCTGTTATTATACCAAGAAATTTAACTTTTAATCTGTGATTTTGTGCAGCTTTTTATTGGAATTTTACTTTTTTTCACATTAGCATACAGATATTTATTAAAAGAAAATCTTTTGGAATATTATGTTTCACCTACTAGCATATAGAAATATATCTATTCTAAGGTCAGTATTATATCCCACAAAAGCATATTTATCAGACCCATTCCTAAGTCTCAGAAAGATGCCTTTCTTCTAATAATTTGTCAAATTGGAAATAGAGCACTGCCTTCACAACACCTTTAACTCTGAGCTTTAGGCTGAACTCTCAGTTCCTTTGAGACTATGAATCAATTGTAATTAAATGAACCCCTCAGGCATCTGAGTGGCAGCTTAATTATATATGCAGCCACTGCTAAACATGGGTCATTCCACTTTGTGAAAGCTTTTCCCACTAATAAGCAGCAACTTCTGAAAAGCCTTTCACCCTGCTCTTCATCAACCTCCTGTCCTATCTTGAAGTTAATAACACATGTTCATCTTATAACAAGCAAAAAGTGCTTGCCACCATGCTCTGCTTTAGGGAACTTCTTTTTATGGGAAGAAGAGTGGCTCTGGCCTTTGGCACGTGAAGCGCCTCCTGCACCTTTCCCACCAAGATTAAAGTAAATGTGGGAGAGTCCCCTCCCAGAACCAGGAATTACGTATTGCTTTCCTGAAAGCAAATATGGAGGTCCCATGAATGACAGACTTTCAAAAGACAAGCCCCAACCGTCACATATATATTGAAGAGTTGTATATTCATTACCATTCAGTGATCTGCAAAGCTTTAATTGAAAAAAAACATACCACTTTATGCTTTGTACTTTTTGTGGGTTCTCTGTCACACTTTTGTCCTTTCCTATTTAAAATTCCAAAACTGACTCAAACATTTGTGTGAGCAGTAGCTTCTAGCTTATTTGGAAATCTAAGTCATCTATATAAATATTTCTTTGACCTCTAAGGCAAGAGAAAAACAAACAAACAAAAAAAAACCCACAAAACAAAAAAGTCATTAGGATGTTTGTAACTAGATACCAACCTGTGGCCAGATTGCAGGAAAAGTATAAAAGATGACCCGGAATAACTAACTCACTGGAGGACAGAAGTGACAATTAACAGGCAGGAGAAAGTGTGCTGAGGAGGTCACATACTGAACTTGGGGAAAACTCAATATATGGCTGGTAATAAAAAGTATTAATGGTGTTCCCAGAATGCAAGATCATCTCCTCCATGACCTGCTGTTGGCTGATACATTAAAAAAATATATTTAATCTAGCTTGCATAAAATTAAAGGAAAAAAGCACCCAGCAGAAGTTCTTGAACATTTCCTTCTGCTGCACCTCCAAGAGAAGTTTGTGAATACATGTCATTTTATTGACATCACAATGTTCAGATGTGGTTTGCACTTGAAGATCAGATCTTTGAAAAGTAGCAAAACAAGAAAGCCAACATGCTCTGATATGATTATCAAAGGAAACCATACATTTTAAAAAAAAAAACGGTGCAATAGTTACACCTGGCATGCCCACAATAATTTTGAAGGCTGGGATGACAGAGCCACACACTAGATTCTTCTAAGGTAACACAATACACAAGCATTAATTTGTTAAGGATTACCATTTTCCATATTCTTTACGTTTAATGTCCTAGCATCTTAAAGTTTGCTGGCCTGATTTACAAACTGAAAAGAAGTGAGTCTAAGAATAGTTCATTTTTAAAAGTGTTTCTATTCTTGCTACTGAGAAATAGGCTGTGCCTTCACTCCTGTGGGCCTTCTATTGTGCACACATCTTTAGAATGCTCCTCGGTAGACAAAACTGCTCTGCTTTTTATGAAGTTTGCAGAAAAGAATATACATATATATACTTAAACTCCTGCAATTTTAAAACTGAAATAAAAAGTAAAAGCTGAAAGCAGCACCTACTGCAAGTGGACTTTAGGGATGTTTGGCTATCCGTAGGAGCCCTTAAACCCAGCACTGTGCTCTATTTCTACTAGTGCCAAACTGCAGAAAAAGAATTTTGTAATGAGTTGTTTTTTGGTTTTTTTTTTAATCTAATTAAACTGAGTTCACAAGCGACACTGAAATCATAGAATACACAAATACAATGATGGTGTCTCCAAGCAAAAATATTTGTAAGAACAAAGACTGCTAACCAAATTCCTTAAATACTTCTCCTTAGATACAAGTATGAAGAATGTGCTAAAGTAATCAGTGTAAGCGCCACTGCATGTCTCCGAAAACACTCATTCTCAGAAAATCCACCTAAGCGTAACCTCGAGAGGTGAACTGCCTTCAGTGCATAATTACAACTCCACACTGTAAAGTCCAAGATGAGTCTAGAATTATTCAGTGGTAGGAATCAGGGTAACACAGATAAAATAAGATGGAATGTTTTGCACTTCCAGCCATAAAAACCTGTTACAAGTTACACTTGTGCACTGCCAGCTAGAGAAACCTGTAATTCCAAAAGTTTTAGTTCCTTACTTCAGTGCTGCACCGATTATGAATGCTTTTCACTGCATATCACTCCAGTTTCTTTACACTACCTTTCCACAATGAGCGTGGCAGGAGTGCTGTGCCATGGAAAGATGTTTGTATTTCTGATCATCGTAATTCATTCTTTGTCACTGCATTCATGCTAAAATCTTTCATCGTGTTACAAGACTTTTCACTTATTCTTTATGTTTTCCCTTTTTTTCTTTTTCTTTTCTATTTTTTTATAAATTCAGAAATTAAGTCTGTTCATTAGTGGAATTCACCCATGCTTGTAAGCCTAAAAGCAAACATGCTCAAAAATACCGAGGTTTGACACAGTTCCAGAAGGCATGTGAGCACAAATCCAAACTTGAGATAAATCAACAGTTGAGACGTTGGCAACTGTGTCAGAAATTTAACCCTGTAATTAAATGCCGAATAGTGAACGTTAAAATATTTTAATAACCCTCCAAATTGTGCTGTCTAATAAACTGCTTGCTTTGGGAACTGACTGGACTACCAAGAGAACTATGAGCAAATTATTTAGCTCTCAGGTTACAATAAGCTGAAGAGGAAACCTAACTCCAGTGACTGGTAGAATACCATACACCAGTCGAGAGAATTAAAGTGTAAGAACATGCACATCACTAACGTACGGCTGATGAGAGACTTCTGAACCTAACCAAAAGCTTGGGAAAAAATTAAGCTAAATGTTTATTGTGATGATCTCCTTTAAAGGCAACAGCCCCTCAGGGTTCAAGATTCAATTTAAAAAACCATTAGCAACTCCAGCTCTGGAGTGATTATTTCACCCGAACTCTCACCCTTCCCAATACGCTACAATCCTGTTTGCTTGGTCTTGAGCTGTAAAGCTGTGGCTGACACAGGACATGGCTCCAGTAACGAGCACAGAGAAAACACCCGGCTAAAGAGTATAAACATAAATATGTAGGGGCTGTTAGTTTTGTTTCTGATCCACCATTCTGTCTTACAAGGGACAGACCTGTACACCACCCAGCACCTTGGTTTCGTATGGAATGTGCAAACCAGTGGCAGCAGAAGACCCTTCAGGTGAGAGGTTTCCATCCACCAGGTAGAGCTGGGGGGCTGTGGGGGTGTTTTTCTGTTTCTGAAAGTTGCAAACAAACTTGTGTGTTGGTCATAAAGCCTTCCCGACAGCGAGTGAGGCACAGGCACATACTTACAGCAGAGGGCTTTCTGCAGCCTGCGGAGTTTCATGGCAGTCCTGTACGCTGAGAACCTGACGTTGTTCAGGTCAGCTGTAGGGGGGAAATATTAAAATAAAAGATCAGCTTTACACCTCAGAAATAACCAGACTCATGAAGATGTGAAGTTGAACTAGATTATAGTCATTGGTTACAAGAACAGCGGGGGGGGGGAAAAATGTACGTTAGAAATTCTACTTCACTGAGCAAAAACCCTCAAAATTTAACAATCAATCATCCAAAAGAAAAACACTAAGTCCTAAAGTGTTATTTCTTTTTGTTCAAAGGCACTGAACTTAAGAGCACTTGAAAGGACAACATCAGTGACTGCAGCAGTGTTGTCTGACAACACCGCAGCCTTTCACACCACAGGCACTGAGAGAGAGATAAGAACCTGAAACAACTCCTTGTCTGCCCGATGCACCAGCCAGGCTGCGTGCAGGCAGCCCCGAAAGAAGAGCTCTGCCCGGGAAAAAGCAGGCAACTCTCAGCTACTGCTAAAAAAAACTTTATTTAAAAAAAAAAAAACAAACACCAAAACAATGAAACTTTTGTGCTTTCCACCCAAGCAGATCCCAGCCATGCCCTGAGATGCAGGGCCTTCGTGGTGAGAAGCCAGCTCACCCAGCCAGGTGAGTTCCCAGGTTCCCGCCTCCAAAATGGCAGGGAACAGCACCTGGCTAGGAACAAACAGCGTGGCGCAATTTTTGCTGGAGCCTTCTTGTGCGGTTAACAAAATAAGGACATCAGCACAAGTCCCCACTGAATAGTTTAGCCATGGCTTGCAAAATCCTCCTGGGACACCACAGGGACGAGGTGGGCCGCACACCAAACCAGTCACACCACACCAGAACTTATACAAGCCTCTCAGCATACCTGAATGCTATTCAGCAGCAAATTCTGATTATCTCCACAGCAAAGCACAGCAACTTGTCCACAGTCTAAGAATTGAACACTAGACAAAACTGAAAAGAAAGGAGGGGTTGTCTTGGACCAAATCTGGCCAGGAAACTGTGTTTGCATCTTTCTCTTCCATGAAACCAGACGGAGGAAGACGCACTTATTCTAGTGTTGTCCCTGGCTTTGCTGAGGGTGGCCTTGGGCAAACTGCATTTACAACAAGAATGAAGATAAAATTCACTGAAAGTGAGGTTGAAACTACTGTGGCTGAATTCCTGCCATCAGTACCACTACATCGGCTAACTTGTAACGTACAACTAGATTTGGCATACCAGCACTACAGTGCAGATACACCACCGCTTGTATTACTCAGAAACAAACTCAGGATGCAGAAGTAAGCGCACAAGTCTGGCAAAGGGCTTTTGTTTATGCGAGTAGATCAACAGGTACCTAAGCTAACCGTGTGCAGCTGCAAGCTGGTACCTTCACCAAAGATTACCCGGGTGAGCCATGAAGGTTGCTGTTTTGGGGCCAAGTCCATGAACAGACGCTGTTTCCCAAGTGGCACTGCCAGCTCCTCCCAGGATGCTACGGGGCAGCTGCACTGGGAACTGAAGAGTGGCATGGGAGCACCCTCGCGTGCTACAGTGTGGTCACCCCACCGCCAAAAACCCAGACTGCAGCTGGCATGCTTCTGGCCCTATCACCTACCCAGCTAATTCCTGGGCACAGACACTCCTGGGCATTTGAGCGGTCTAGGGACCATTCCCAACAGATGGCTGGCATCCTGTAATTTAAGGGTTTTCTAGCACAGAAATAGACTGTTTGTGCCAGCCAGTTTCAGCAGCCGGCAACACTCCTGAAAGCATTTAATTTACTGATGAAACCCATGAGGCCTAAGGAGTTAATGATGGGAAAGTGTTTGGAAAATGTAAACTACTATGTAAATACAAAAAGAACATTAAAAAAATATATACTGGCTCAGAATAAAGGTCCTTTAGCCCAATAAACTGCCTCTAAGCCTGGCAGACTTAACAGAAAGAATATGACGAAAAACAGGGCAAATATAAAACATTTCCTTGCTGGCATATGCGCTGAGGTGCTATAAAGCTGTTTGCAATGTGGTAGCTTGGGTATAACTATCCCAACATCATTTACAATGCTGTACAAGTATAGGTAGCAGAGGGAATATAGTCTCAATTACATTAATTTTAATTAAGCTGTTCTGAATGAGTAATTTGAGGCTTGAAAATTCAGTCGTTTTGTATACCTTAATAAAAGCTGTGGAACGTTTCTAAAACACATCTTACAGCAGAAGGGGAAGTTTCAGCTTTGTATCTCATTTCTTTTTCTTTGCACCGTTCCATCCACCTTTTTAATGGGCAGTTCTCCTGTGTATTGTTCCTGCCAGCTCCCTCTCTCACAATCATCCTGACAGGTCCAGAAGCCTTAATGTGGTGTGGAATACAGTGAGCAAGTTAAATAAAGCGACTTCATTTGTCTTGAAGGGAAATTAATAAAGCAGTCTCTCACAAACACACTGTGACTTCAGTTACATTTTGTACTCTTGTTGTAAATCTGCACTTGTATTCTGGAAAAGAATATATACTAGATGACGGGTAGCATTTGATAAAATGAAGAAGCCTTCCCTAAATTTTCCCTGAGTATTCTGAAAAAAGCTTCTCTACTTATTATTTATATTTTAAGAAATACTGGTAAATATATATGCATATTATTTCAGGCCTTGATCAGGGCAGAAAGTACAATTCATAAAGACACTTAATCCTGAAAGTGCTGTAGTTTACATCTATTTTCCTGTATATGTAATACACACTGAACTTGTTATCAACCTTAATGACATTGCTGCCAAGAAGCATCTGCTGTAAATGACCAACAAGCAATGTCAGGAGCTAGTTTCGGAGCCCTCATCTCAGGTTGTGGGAAAGTAGCAGCAATGTCTGCTTTTGGCTCTACGTGCTGAGGCCAAGCGTAGCCGTCGCATACCTCCACTCCCACCTTCGTTGCTGTTATCAGTATTAGCCCATGCCCAGTTACTGCCCCAGTGTCAACTGCTCACCTCCCGTCTTCGTTATGCCACCACCTCCATGCTCCTGACAGACAGCTCTCTTACCAGGTGGTGACAGTCATTTGAGGTCACTGGACCTTAATGATTTAGCTTTTCCCTCTGCCTACTCCTATGAAACTGCTGGTGGTGTCTGTCTTCCCCCAGAGCTAATGCTGGAACAAATGCATTGCTCTGTGGAGAAATGAGGGGAGCCCAGGCCTCTCCTAATTGTGTTCAAAATATTTCCCTTGCTGGTATATGATCCCATTTAAATGAACTGTAGAACGTAAGACTGTCAGGCAACGAGACTTGTTCACAGGGCTCAGGAGCGTTGGAGGCAACATCACCACTAACAGCAAGGGAGGAGCCTGGGAGTGAGGCAGCATAAGGCGCTGCCTGGCTGCAAGCCAGCCGCTACTGCTGGGAACTTGCGGAGGAGGGAAGAAGGAGGCTCAAGCAGCAGCAACCTTCTGAGGGCCAATGGAATTGCCAGTAGTTACTCCTTCCCTGTGGGTTTTTTCCCCTCTTGGGTCCTGAGGGAAAAAATCTGATGCTTTCTCCATTCCCAAACAGCCCACTAAAGGAGTCAGGGCCCACTAAGCCTTGACTCCAAACCTTTAATCATCCCTGAGCAGGTCGGAGAGCTCAGTATACCCCGCATGCTTTCCTCCAGTCCTTTCCTCCCACTCCTAGAAATTATGCACCATCTCGTCATCTGAATGAGGTAGTCAGAGGGCTGAAAAGCCCTTGGAGTATATAAGACTTCTGCAGGTTGTTTAATGATACTCTCAGTCCTTGTTCAGAAGGTAACTTTCAAGCTTTCATCAAAAAGTCTAAATGCTCAAGAGCATAATCTGTTTATGGTCTGAAATAATGATGTAGTAGAAGAGGTCACCTGGCCCCTGGAAAGGAACGGACTGAGGAAAAGATCACACAGGAGTATTTGGTGACACTGATATTTACATCCCAGACCAAAGAGAAGTCATGGCTCTCCCGCCACTCAGCCATGAACGATCTCTCTGTGCAAGGGAGTATAAGTGCTTCTAAGGGAGAAGATTTAAGATTGAGTTACAGAAGACCTGTAAGATGGGGCAGGTGCTTACAGCTGATGCCTTTGCAGCAATGAACAATCCCACCAACACAGCAGGTAAGATCTCTCCCTGATCTTCCTAAGCTTCTCCCACAGCCCTCCCACGACCATGGTGGAAGGAGTTCAAAGTGCTAAAGCACCAGTGACTCTCAGAAAATCGGAAATCGCCTTTCGCCGCTCTCTTTTCATTACAGACATGACAAGCACCTCCCTTTGCTTCATGGCAGCTAATGCAGTAGGGAGAACGTTATCTAGAAAAGTGATTTCCTCCACATCCATCACGTGCCTGCAACATATGAATATGTTCGTGTTCATATTCTTATATTCATTCACATTACTACAAATAACATTGAACAAGAACTAGTGCTCTTTAATGAAGAGGACTCCAGACTGCTGATAGTGAGAACTCAAATCAGAAATACTACAGAAAGATGATCAGATAATTAAATTCTAACCTTTTCTGCATAATTCTGCATGTTGAAAGAAATCTCAAAACGTAAGTGCTATGTTCTTCCTCAAAAGAGCTAAGACATCCTCAGCAACACATTTTTCAGTGTTGTATTTCTACAGTATTGTAGAAACAGCTGTAATTACACATAGCAGATCCTTTTGACAGTGGATAATCAGGTAAAAAAAACCCACTCATTTGAGAAGTGGTCAGTGATTTGTATCAAAAATTCAAACCACCGGCTGGAATGTCCCACTGACTACTGACACACTACCAACAAATAAAATGTTGTAGATTTTTTTTAAAAATTCTCCCATGCTACATTCCAGATTTTACATTGGGATATGAATATTATTTTAAAAGGAAAACCAGATCCTCATATTCTTGAGTCTTACTGCATGAAATAAGTTGGTAAGCAACTAAAAGCAATAAAAAATTAAACAACAATAAGTTTTTAAAAAGAAAATATTTAACAAGAGGTTTAGCATCCAGCATGGAAGGACATTTGTTTTTATTCTTAAGAAGTCACATCTATAACCCAGACAACAGGT